AAAAAAAAAAAAAAAAAAAAAGGAAAAAAAAGGAATACATAAACCAAACACTGCTGTCAAATTATGCTGGCCCTTTGGCCTGAGTCACATTAATTCAACAGTGACTCTAGATTGGAATCTAGTCTACTTACTCAGCTCTTCCATGTTGACCCCCTTGGGGACCATCTGCAGCAGAATGGCAGCCGTCTCCTTGATGAGTGGGAAGGCAGATGACAAACTGATGATGACCATGACTATAGTCAGGCTGGGGTCAATGTAGCACTGCCAGTTACACGGCTCCTCATTTTTCAAGGGAAGCACATAGAATATGCTGGCCGCAAACACCACAATGACAGACCCCAGTGTATCTCTGATCATATGCAAAAGTACACCTGCCAGGGAGAAAGAAAGACTGCTACGGCACAGATCCAAGTTTGGAAGTCATGTGACTCTCGATGACTTGGATTTCTCAGTATATGAATACTATTGCTATTTGTTTTCTTTTTGATTACAACAGTAGAAGGGATCAGAATTTAAAAAAAAAAAAAAGGTAACTGCTTCTGAGAAAATAAAACTCCAGGCCACTTCCTCAAGACTCAGAGACCCTAGAAAGAAAGTCTAGGAAGAGTCTGAGCTGTGGTCAGTACCTGTTAGGAGGTACTGTATCACCACCACCCACCACCATCCAAGAAAGGGCATGAGACAGAAGACAGAGGCTATGCAAACAATTTTCTCCCATCAAGTGTCTGTGTTTTAAATTGCTTTAAACATTCTTAAGAGGAGAAGAAGCTCAGATATATCAGAAGGGTGGTTCTTTTCATTCTTTGTCTTTCCCCTACCCGTGGGCATTTGGCTACTTCTCACTAAGCCTGTGGACATTTAAAGGGCATTTGGTGGCTCAGTGACTGTGGCTCAAGTGGCTAAGGTGCCAGCCACATACACCTGAGCTGGCGGGTTCGAATCCAGCCTGGGCCCGCCAAACAACAATGATGGCTGCAACCAAAGGGCATTTGGTTTAAGAAGGTTTCAAAAAAGAGACTCTAGCAGTGTTTCTACTGCATAAAGAGCCATTTGTCACAATAAAATAAAAATTGTGGGTGCCTTTAATTAAGGGTACTTTCTTTTTTTCTTTCTTCTTCTTCTTTTTTTTTTTTGGAGATAAGAGTCTCACTTTGTGACCCTTGGTAGAGTGCCGTAGCATCACAGCTCACAGCAACCTCTAGCTCTTGGGCTTAGGTGATATTCTCTTGCATCAGCCTCCTCACTAGCTGGGACCACAGGCATCCGCCACAATGCCCAGGTACTTTTTTTTTTTTCAAGGTTTGCAATACTGCAACCCTTGGTATATGGGGCTGGTGCCCCATATGAGGCCGGGGCCATATGTGGCCCTCACAGAGCCACAGGCACCACCCAAGGGAACTGTTTCTAACAGTATCAATATGGTATCAAAAACATGCAATCTGGCTCGGTGTCTGTAGCTCAGAGAATAGGGCACCAGCCACGTACACCGGAGCTGGTGGTTTCCCATCCAACCTGGGCCTGCCAAACAACAATGACAACTACAACAAAAAAAATAGCTGGGCATTGTGGCAGGCACCTGTAGTCCCAGCTACTTGGGAGGCTGAGGCAAGGGAATCACTTAAGTCTAAGAGTTTAAAGTTGCTGTGAGCTGTGATGCCACAGCAGTCTACCAAGGGCGACATAGTAAAACTCTGTCTAAAAACAAAAACATGTAATCTTCAGAAAAAATAAAACGTGGATGCCCAATTGTTTGTTGAACATTAACAATTAGGAATTTAGGCACATTAACAGAAATTTAGTAAATGGGGTGAAAATATGATGAGAAGTATTATAGAATATAAACACCAAGTATTTTTTTTTAACACAGAAAGCAACATTCCTGGGTCCCTGTGGCTCAGGTGGCTAAGGTGCCAGCCACATATACCTGAGCTTGTGGGTTCGAATCCAGCCTGGGCCCACCAAACAATGATGGCTGCAACTAAAAAATATCCGGTCCTTGTGGCAGGCACCTATAGTCCCAGCTACTTGGGAGACTGAGGCAGGAAAATCGCTTGAGCCCAGGAGCTGGAGGTTGCTGTGAGCTGTGATGCCATGGCACTCTACCGAGGGGGACAGCTTGAGGCTCTGTCTAAATTAAAAAAGAAAAAAAGAAAGCAACATCAGAATCTTGTAATCCTAGGTAAGGCTTTTTTTTTTGCAGTTTTTGGCCAGGGCTGGGTTTAAACCGCCACCTCCCGCATATGGGACTGGCACCCTACTCCTCTGAGCCACAGTCACTGCCCATCCTAGGTGCCCATCCTAGCACCTGGAGGTCTGTTCGAAATGCAGAATCTCAGG